TATATATATATATATATATATATTGGAAATTTTAGTTAACTGTATTGAATCATATGTATTATTTCTTTTGTAAACTATATCTTCTATATTATGTAAGTTTTATTGTATAATAATGTTATAAAAATCATTTTATAGAAAATTTTTCCTTGTAAATTTTAACTAGTCATACTAAAATTTTATAACAGTCCCAAATATTTTTCTTTTAATTATATAGTATTATATTATATTTGTGTGGGACCAAATTAAGGAAAAATACAGAATGTTAAAAGAAAAATAACAATAATATCCAACAGTTTTGGAGTATTTGAAAACAATTGTACAGCATATATGTTATCATATATATCTAATTTCCAAACTTATCTTTACATTTATTTAACATTTATTTAATTCCTAATTAAATAAAATAAAATTTTATCTGTTAAGTTTTATTATCAGTTTTGATTGAATATCATTTTTTTCAATAAAAATGAAAGTTAACAGGAATTGAAACAAGGCATTTTCCAATTCTGAATTTATCTGTCTATGGTTACTTTCAAGTAGAACACTGTCATAAGTTCACCAAAGATTTTATATGTTTAACCATTAATTTTTTTATAGCCAAAATTAAATTATTTTATTAATACAGACATGTGATGACTTTTTTCAATGAAATTTGGTGAGTTTTTCTGCGTACTCCAGCAATCAGGAAATTGCTTACCTCCTTGATGTTGTGCTGAAGATGTTCTCTTTTCTGTCTTATAGTAGCAATGGCTATGATGATGATGTGCTCCTGAAGATCCTAAGATCTTCTGAATGAAATTGAATAAAGTATATCTTTCATGTAACCCCAAAGAAAGAAATCGAAGAGGATCAGATTTGGAGATCTTGGTGGCCACACTTTCTGCTATGGCAAAGCCAAGACTGGATAATAATGTTTGATTTGACTTCTGCACATCTTTCAGTATGAAAAAAAAATCTCTAAAACTTTGGTTTAAGATATATAAAGGCAATAAATGGTATCTGGTGGGAAAACTCATTCATTTTTTATGGCAAATTAAAATCGAGCATACTTTCGAGCAGAACACACTATTATAATGCAGTAAACGAGAATAGCCAATATATGAAGCACAGAAAGTACACCAAGTTGCACAATTTAAGTACTGTATCCAGAAAATGAGAGTTATCATGCTGTAATAAAATTAGGAATCACTGTGTTTATTTTTTCAAGTTGTGTTTTTAGTGCTTAATTCATATTTTCTTGCAGTTTTGCAGAAATGATGGGTAATACAATAAGACCTTGTCCAAGAAACTACACCAGTTTGATAATGTAACCAAACCAATTTTTCATATTTTATTATTAGGGCCATTAAAACATTATTTGTACCTTCTCCATAACTCTGGAAAAGTAGCAGTTTGTGATGCAACAGCATCATCTGTCAGTCTAGAGGTGCTGATTGCTATGTTCATACACATGTTGGACTTGCCTTTCAAAGGAAGAAAGATGTTTAGTTATTTGTGCTAGTGGGTTTGTCGATACGGCAAAAAAAGCATGGAAGCAGCTAATCATGGGCAACAATGAACAGTGATTTTTGTTGAGAGGAGGAGTGGTGTATCTGATGTCCACATGAGGCTAGCAGCTTTGTGGAGGGAGTGCATCAGTCAGAGCCACATTTTGCTGAATATTGGAGGACAAAAGCAGTAAGCAGCCAGCAACAGCACACAAAACAGACAACATTTAGTGTATGTCCAACTTTATAATGGAGGACAAGGAGAATCACATTCTATGAACTGTAGGATGGAACCCATCATCCATCATCACTGACTTCTCTCATCACTCAGTAGAAGTGGCTTGTGGAGCCCTGCCAGTAGTACTGAAACTGTACAGTACAAATCTTGTGAAGTTCCTTGAGAGTCCAATCACAGGTGACATATCATGGTTCTTGCATGACATGCCAAAAATGAAATGTCAGTCCATGAAGTGAAAGTACACTGGGTCCCTCAACCTAAGAAGCCAAAGCCAGTGATGCTCAAGAAATAAATGGCAACTGTATTCTAGGGTTCTGGAGGAGGGAGCAAGAGGGGATATTTATGTTGGTTTGGCTGCCTCATGGTGATAGCATCAACAGTGACTGGTACTGCAAGACACTGCAGCAACTCTGCTGATGCATTCAGCAGTGCCTCTCCTGTAAATTCACAAAATTGACAACTTTAAAAATATTGGATAGCTTATCTGATAACACAGGGATAACATTGAACTTTGGTTTCTGTTTCTTTTTATTCCTGAAAATATTCTGGAGAATATACACAAAGTGATTTTTGGTTTAAGGTGTTCGATAATGCCAAAGTCTGTGTCGTGAGACAGCATGCTATGGGCACTGATACCACGAAAGACTTTAGCAACATAGTGATCTTTGTGGTTAACAGAAACCAAAATATGTTAAGGACGTAAGTTTTTTTATAACTTAGCAAACATTTAATAAGTAAGAACAAATTTCATTACGACCACATGTGCATTAAAGAACGATTAGATTTCAGGTCATGAACATCAAAATAGGTCTGCACCTGCTGTTTGCAATACCTCATTGGTGAATAGCATTGATGCTGGTAGTGTTTTTTTGTAGATCAAGGGATAATAACCCTAAACTTGCATTGTGTTCATATCATCGCACATCTTAGCAGCTTCCTTTAAATGAAGATCATTTAATGAAGTTACTTCTATGACTTTTCCTTTGCTGTCAAGAGCTTGTTGAATTCGACCGACTTTTAAACAAAGCACACAGTTTGTTTGAAGTGTCCTTCAGATGCAGATGACATGATATATTGAATTTAAATTTTGCATAATTTTGATATACTGATTCCGTAACAGGTTTTCTGTTTTCAGTGGCACATTTCTTTTCATAATGCTCGTATATCTTGCATACTGTCTATATTTCTACATAATGCTCGTATATCTTGCATACTGTCTGTGCTATGTATTGCAGTATCGACTTGAAACAATTCCTCCAGACTTTTTCTTAGTAAAAAAAAAAATTGGAAATGCAGAATGTGGTCTTAAGATATTTTTGACTATAAATTCAGTATTTATTAATGTAATATTATTGAATTTAAAAGTTTAAATTTATACTGATAACGTAAAAAATGAAATTCTGATCATCCGAAAATCGTCTGAAATTCCAATGAAATTCAGTCTCAATTAAACAAATCCAAAAGCTAGAAAATTACTGCTAATTGAAAATCCTTCATCAAAAATGAATATTTAATTTTCGAGTTTAATCTTATACATTTTTCAATAAAACTTTTAATATTCTCGACAAAATTCAAATGAAATACAAATAAATGTAAGATAAATGCAAAACCTATAAAATTGTTACTTCTAAAAAAACTTTCTGGAAGTTTAAATTTTTATTGACTAATGTGAAAAATGGAATCATCTCAAACTTCCTTAAGATGAAAATTATATGAAATTCAGAAGAAAATATAAAAGCTATGAAATTTAAATATATCACATCCAAAAACTCATTCAAAAAAAGAACTTATACAGATGTATGAGCTAAAAACTTAAAAAATTTTGAAATCCTTCATAGTACGAATTAATTATCATTTTTCATGTACACTAACAAAATATTGAAACGTATTTGGGATGAGAATCGAATGAAATTCTAATTCCACAGATTTTAAATTTTCAAATTGAATTACTACTAATTAGTTAAACAAAAATCCTTCATGATAGATGATTAAATAATTTTTAAATTTGTATTGAGAATCCAAATATTTTATGGTAATCCCAAATAAGTTTTCTGATGACTGATTCGAATGAAATTCAGGTGTCGCGCTGCATAGCACCAAAATTACCACAAAATGACACTATTAAAGTGGCGATAAAATTACAATACTAGCGATTGCAAGCGACGATAAAAATCGTAGTCCGCTTGTTTGCACATTCAATGTGAAATGAATCACAAATCACACTTAGGGAAAAACAGCAAATTGTCGTGCTTCCGTACAATGAAAGTCCCGTGCACTGCACACCGAGAGTGCATATACTGTACTTTGTTGAATCAGATCATTCAAATCTTTGTTCTCTGATCATTCAAATCCTGTATACAAACGAACCGTAGCGATCTCATCAATCTATTCGCGTATACGAACACCATCTAGGATCAGCCTGTGAAATAATGTTTAAACATTGTGATGAAATGTATTATTTGGAATTATTCATTAAAAAATTATTCAAAAATGATTCCTATTGCTAACAAGGGTAGGACCAGACGTTCAGGTCTCTCTGGACAAGGAGCTGCTTGTGTTTAATAGGATCCACTTTCAAGCATTTCCAATAATTGGCCTATGAAAATTTAGTTGTTAGCTTATAGAGTCCGAGTGCAAGTTACTCGCGCGCCGCCCTGGTGGCAAATATTTACATAACATATAGGAGTTCTCTAAAGAATGCATATGAGTTGTATCTGAGACATTACGATACCTAAACGATACCCAGTACAGTAAATCNGATTAAAATAGAATACTGTATATGTATTAAAACCAAATATAGACTGACCTTGGTCTGGTAGTTTGAACGGTCTCGTGAGCTACCCTTTAGAATTGGTATGAAGATGGAGCATTTCCAATCTTTATGCCAGAGGATTTGGGAAACCAAATGATGGCCAAAAGTGAGTACAGTTCTTTTGGGTACTGCTTGAATCAATTCTGCTGACAAGTTATCAATACCTGGTGCTTTGTCACAGAGATAGAACTTTAGTGGATTATAAGTCAGTTATCAAGGAACAGTGATTACCAAAATGGGCACTATTGTCCTCAAGGAGCAATGAGTAAATCTAGGGGATAAAAAGGAAGCAAGAGATCACTGGAGACAAGTGACACTGACTGACTGACTGAATAGTGACCATAGGCGTGGTTCAGGTCACTGACAACCTTTCTTCTTATGCATTTTAAGAGAGGAAAGGGAAACATTGCATTTACTGGTTCCCTATGTTGAGAACAATGTATGATAAGGACACAAAATATGAGGTTAATAGAAAAGCCTTTCTTACACAAGGAAAAAATGGGTTGAGTATAAGTTTATGGAACCAAGGGGGTAGTGGCTCAAAAGTTTGGGAATCATTGGTCTAGAGTATTTGCCCTTGTGCATCAATATTTTGCTAAAGAAAAAGACAGCAGACAGCTATGGCTACCGTCAGTTATTCAATAGTAACTATTCTTAAAGAAACAAAGCCTTTCCATACACATTGTAAACACATTATAAATCACCTCCTGAGTCTGATTTTGTAGCAAACTTCCTTGTATTCCACTACCAGAACATGAAGCTTCCATAACACTGTTTAAAATGGCAGTGACATGTCTAAGGTATGAGGAAGAAATTTAACCATAGTGATTAACCAATAAGCATTAGTCATTAATTTCCAAGTTGATTCTTTCTATAGACAGACTGTAATCTTTGTTCTTTACAGAGTGAGTGACACATAACTATAGCATTTCCCAGAATAAGAATGGAGCTAATGTCATTTTACAATTGAATGAGAAATTTAATAAGATTTAACTAACAAAAAATGATTCTGATAATTTGATTTATTGACCCCAGAAAACAGATTTATCTTCAATAAAGCTTAATTTCTATTTTTGTCGTTCTGTACAGCAGCAATAGTTATGCAAATTTTAATTAAGTTGTACATGGCCTAATGAATGAAAATTATTTGAATTCTTTTTAAAATCTATGTAAATTTGATTCTGTTGTTCATGCAATACCTTTTTAAATTTTTATATAATTGTTCATATTAATCATTATACAGTCGACCCCCCTATAAGATAGAGATACGTTCCATTCTTTAGGAATCCGATTTCTTACAAATCCTTCCAATCACAACCCGACACGTATCAAGTTTATGGACTACGGCTGTTTGAAAGATTTTCTTCCATAAAATTAATCGATTCTAGACTAATCCG